CACACACACACACACACACACTGTATATATATCTATACAGTATCTATATCTATATCTATATCTATATCTATATCTATATCTATATCTATATCTATATCTATATCTACACACACACACACACACACACATACATACATACATACACCATTGACTGTATGGACAAATGCTCATGATCTTGGCCTACTTTTTGTAATAACTTGTGAATCTTCCTAGTGTATTTTCAAAACAAATTCAATGTTATTTAAGATAGAAAATGTTCATACCCATTAACAGGATCCACAACAATTCCTCGAGGGTGAGACATGTCCCCTTCCAGTAGAGTTTTACGACTCTGAGAAGCTTTCTCTAACCTGGCAACATTAATTGTTTTCCTGTAACCATCATTTGTCCAAAACAGATTATTTCCAATCCAGTCTATTGCAATGCCTTCTACATTATCGAGATCTGTGTAAATAAACATGACATATATAACTTTGTGTGCATGTATGTGCATGTGTGTGTATAATATTAGGTTCTTAACTAGTATTCCAAATATAATTCAAATTATCTATATAATCATAAATAATTATAGTTATTTATAATTATAATTTCTGTCAAATTACACAAAATCTTGTGCAAACTATACAAGTTTTTTGTGAAACAAATAGAAATCCACTATAATAATTGCAGGATTCTTTGTGTTTCTATTTAGCCATGTGATTATTTAGCTATGTAAGCCTCATTTAGAGGATTTGCTTGGCTTTTCTGAAAAAAATTCATTCTGAGTTCTTAGGAAAATAAGTGAATACATATGTAATAACATAAATAAACTACCTGAATGAAGAGATAAACCCAATAGACCCTTCGTAAAAGCCTAAGAAAGTAGTTAGTGTAATCATTAATCTGTTAAATAAATATAAATAGGATTCATGATACTGAACATTCAAAGTGACCAGTTCTAAGATACAAATAGTTACGTATTTATGTCTGCAGTATGGATCAAGGGGCAACCCTTGGAAGCAAGAAACATATTAAAATGGAAGGGGTTTAAATGCCCATAATAGCAATGCTGAATCTAGACCAAACTCCTTTTCATGGACCAAATGACACATTTTCTGGAACAGTGTGGATTACAGTGCAGTAAATTTTCCTATTTTTTTTCCAATATTTATTTATTATATCCTGCCTTTTCTTTCAGGAGCTTAAGGCAGCAGTAATAATGGTTTAGATATCTTTCTAGGATAGCCTATCTAAAGGCAATAGAGAATCATTAATTACTTCTTACTAGTTTCTTTTATCATAGGAACAGATATCCTGACAATAAAATGAAGTTAATGACTGCCAGAACATATGTATTATATATGAATGAAACCCTATGATATGTAAATTAACAGTATTCTGTGGATAACACTGTGTTAGTGCAAATAATTACATGGATAATACCTGTTGGGAAATAAACATGTGTTTAGTGTATCTAAAAATAGCTATTATAATATTTTAAAAAAAGAAACAAACTGAATTATGCTGGGATCACATTAAGCCAGCTATAGCATTAGAACAACAGCTCTATAGAATATCTAACAGTTCATCAAGAATTTCCAATAAAAATCTTCTATTTTCATTTGTTTCTAATATTTTGATTGAGTGGACCAGAGTTGACAATTTCCAGAGTAATTAAGCATACTAGGTACTGCAATATATTTAGCAGAAAACCAGCTCAAATTCCAAGATGGTTGATTAATTTGTTATTTGGTTTTGAACTTTCAGTTTAAATTTACCACAGAAAAATGTAATATAGACTATGAAACATTGTACTAAATCTGAATTACATTCTGAAACCCAATATTTCCCACTCATTGCACACAATTGCTTTTCTAGAATTCCATGATAGCAGGACAGGCACACCTATAGGCTTTAAAGATGGAAAGAGTTTTTATGATAACACTGAAATAAAAATTAAGAAAACAACTTAGTTCTACTAGCAAGGGAAAATAAAACAAATGTTTTAAAAATTACTACAGAAGGAGGAAGCATTCTTCTGCATATGAAACCAAAATGAATTTTAAGGAATATAGAAGAAAATCTCTCTTGATAAAGTTATTGAGTGTGAACTGAGATTGCAAGTTTCCCCAAAATTCTGTTTCTGTATATTGCAGGGGAAGAGTAGAAACCACAAAGAAATGGTATCCCCTATCCCTGGGTATTTGATAATGTAATCTCAAATGATTATCACAGTCAATTATTAAGTCACAATGTAGTTTGCAATTCTTTTTCTGATACCGTGATAAGGATTAAGAAGAATTTTCAGTATAGGGTGATAGCTTGGATTCGGTTGTTTCAGTACAGCATAGACTTCTGAAAGTTGCTACTCATGGACAAACTCCAAACTATTAAGAATGACCAAAACAACATTTCAGAGTGCCATTAAATGAAAATTTCAAGTGTAAGCGCAACTGAAACTTCTAAGGTCCAGAAGTGCTGAACATTTGTTTTACTAGACACACTATTTGAACCTCTGTGCCACTAAAAGCTTATAGGTTGTCTGTGATAAAATGGGGTAAATGTATCAGACTTAAGAATCTCAATTTCTTCATTGCCTTTTAAGAATCATGTGTCAGTGAGAGTGAACTTTTAGAAATACATGCTTCATTATTACATGACTTACAAATTGTATATGGCAATGAAACTATTATATTATTTTTACATATTTAATTTGATTAATATTATTTGTCTTATTACCTCTTGTTGGGTTATTTAAATGAACTGCTGTAGATCAAGTAGCAAAAAATATTAATAGGCAGCTAGCATGCAATATAATGAAATTGACATAGATATACAGGTATATTTAAGTTAGATGGGTTTGATTTGTTTAGTGAAAGGAAAAAAATTAAAAGAAATGAGGACAGAGAAATAATAGAAATAATTGTAGGGCACAGAATCACATCTGTTTAAAAATTCAGATTAGTAGCTATGGGAAACATAGTACCAAGACCTACCAGGTATAAGTTATAATAATTGGTGATTTTTGTGTGTGTTAAGAATTCAGTCAAATCCAATACTACTCATTACTAAATCTGAAGTATTCCAATGTTCATTAAATATTGATTTTCTTTGCTTTATGATGGTTTTTTAATATTTCCCCAGCAACTGAGAAATTTTATTATCTTATGATAAATGAAGTGAAATGTGTAATGAAACAGCAATATCAGGAAACAAAAATTAGTATTGTACTTTCTCAACTGGGGTACTATTGGCCTTCTGAGACTAAATTATGAATTTCCAATTTCAACTAGAGATGGTATCACTTGGCTTGAACTTGGCAGAAATCTGACATAGCAAGGCTAAATAAGAATCTTTATTCTGAACTAGAGTGGAGCTATATTAAGCAGTTAATTGTAAGTGTGAGTGCTAGCTCCCCCTTATACCCACAGCATTTTAAATCTGTTGCTGCTGCTTCCTGCCTTTCCCATGTTCCAAAAGCTTCTTTGCCCTATGCTCCATGGCCTTGAAGCTGAGCAGCTGCTGGTTGTTGATATAACTGACATCTCTGCCCTGAGAATTGCTGGCTCTTGGCTTATCTTTCACAGCTGGGAAAGAAGAAAGGAATTTTGATGTCATAACATAGAGCTTTGAAATTTCCTCTGCAACTGGTGAAGATGTTTAGATAATAGATTAACATTCCTTTGGTTATTTCCAAGATATTCTTTGTGCTAGGAATATCCTGAAATTATCTCCATTAGTAGTTTGAGAAAAGTATTTCGCAGTATATGTTAAAAATGCAGAATAGTTTAAATCCCAGCAAACCAGTAATAAATAATCAAAATGCACCATGCAACAGTGCTCCTGCAGTTACTTCTGAAACTAAAAAACTTCCAAAATGTTAAACTTTCAGAGTTTTAAAGTATAGAAACAAACTTAAATTGGTGCCAGTTCTTGCAAATGCTTGAGTAAAATTTTCAATTTCCTATTCTCTACTGAAATCCTTCCATGTACCACCTACCATCCTTCAGGATTGTCTCACGCCCTGAGCCATCAACCTTTTGACGTCCTATCAAGAAACTGGTAGTGTCCGCAAAGTATATGTAGTTGGTTTCGGCATGATAATCCAAAGCTCGAGGATTGACCAAATTTTCTATAGGGATCATATGTTCATCAACTACTTTGGTATTTAGATCCATTCCTTGTATGATGCCTGGGCGTCCCTTTCCATAAAACAGGAACAACTCATTCTTTAGTCCTACATAAAAAAAGATTAAAAGCTTAAACCACAAATCTTTCATAATTTCTTCACACTGAATACAGATGCTCTTTTACTTAATGCTAAAACCTGTGGCTTTTTTTTTTTTTTAGTTCAGCACCTAAAATTAAGATCTCAGACATTCTGAAGGCATCTGAGCTCAGAATGATTGGTTAATTAAACCAATTAAATTAATTAAATTTAATTAAAACAGTTATTTCTGTGACTGAGTTATACTTAATTAAACATTGCCTTTTTATGACAATTCATATTTCAAAAGTCCAAAAATACATAGACTACAGTAAGTACAAAATGAACCTGTATAATACTACATAAAAGAGGATCTACTGGCTGCTATTAACAGGTTATCATATTGTAAATTTTAGCAAAAACAACATTTTTACAGTTCCTGTTTTTGTTTTCATTTTTAAAGCCAAAAGCTAAAGTAAAACATTACAAATTAGAAGATTATACTTTACTATCTGAATATGGATAAATATTGTTTATACATTCTATTGCTTGCTTCTTAAATATATTCCAACTTTGTAACCTTGGATATTGAAAATACAAGCACTCAGAGATAAAAGTATCCATTTTTTTTTATTATTATTTAAGAAAATCTCTGGGTTCAACTAAAACTGTAAGTAAAAATTTGACTGCTGTAACTTGTCTTTTGGTAGTTTTCATATGGGTTCACACAAATGTCAGGATAAAAAATGAAAGTTATGAGAAGACACAATCAACATCAAAATGTTGAGAAAAGGAAATTTCTGAACAATTATTTGAAGATTATAGTTTAATATAAATAATACAGTTACTGGATCTGGATCAACATGATTTCAATAACACACTTCGATATACTTTTCTCGTATTGGCATGAACAAAATTCAGTAAATATTTATTTTATTAATCTATTATCTTTTGTTTTGA